TGGTTTTTACCACGACACGGTTTACGAATTTGTTCCTTTTAATTACTGTTTATATTTTTAGTCAATGCTAACGGTGTAGTTTTGCAGTTCATTTATCCAACACAGTTTACTCGAAAGCTCTAGGTCATTACAAAACATGTGAACCGGGCTATTCTATAAGCTAATTACATTTTAAATAAAGTTTCTCATAAGAAAAGGGACAATACACCATATGAGTTATGGAAATGTACAAAACCTTTCTACAACTACATGAACATGTGAGGGTGTTTTGCGAAGGTAATGACCTCATTACCAAAGCAAATGGAAATATGTCTTAAAACGATGGATTGCATTTATTGACTATGAAAAACATAGAAACACATATCAATTTCTTGTGTACGAGTCAAAGAATCCTTAAATTCACAAGAACATGATACTAGAATCAAACAATTGGTCATTCTTTGAAAATATATTCCTTGTAAAATTAAGGAATCTATTTCAAGTTCAAAGAAGTAAATTTTAGAAATTATCGATAAAGATAGTCCGAACAATCAACAAAATGTTAAAACTGAGCCAATAATGAGTAAACGAGTTACGATGCAAAAATATTATGGATTAAATTTTCTAACCTATATGTTAGAGGATGAACCTCAAACATATAACTCTATCATATTTTCATCTGAAAGCACCTTATGGAAAGATGTTATATATCAAAAGTAAAATAGATTTCATCATGTAAGATCATACATAAGAATTAGTGGATCATTCTCTAGGAATTAAATCATTAATAGATTTTCAAATGAAAAATAAAGACATACAGAACAATTGATAAGTGCAAGATTAGACTAGTTACAAAAGGTTATCGATAAAAGAAATACCTAGCCTACTTTAATACTTTTTCTTTAGTATAAAGAATAACCTCCATAAAAGTAATACTCGTAATTGTCATATTGCGGAATCTTAAAGTACATCAAATGGATATTAAAATAACTTTTTTGAATGGAGATATAGATAAAAAGATTTACATGGAACAACACGAGGGTGATGTAGTTCCAAATCAAGAAAGGAAAGTTTATAGATTAATGAAATTTTTATATGGACTCAAGCACTAAAGTAATGACACAAGAAGTTTTTATAGTGTCATGATGATAAACGACTTCAAGATTAATAAGTTCTATAAATGTGTGTATGTCAAAATTATTGACATTGGATATATAATCCTATATTTATATGTTAATGACATACTCATTGTTGAAAACAACAATGAAATGATAAAGTGTGCCAAAGACATATTAAACTCAAGATTTGACACGGAAGATATGAGATTAACTAATATGATTTTTGACATCCAAATCAAGAAATCATATGAAGATCTCATATTAACTCAGTTATACTACGTGGACAATGTTCATGAAAAAAATTAACAATGATGATTATGGTATAACTAGAACATTAATAGATATGTGTTAGCATTTATTTAAAAAATGAAAATGTTGACCAAGTGGAATATGTAAAAATAATAGGAAGTCTAATATATCTCAACAACCGTACTAGATCATATATTATTTTCACTATGAACAATTTAACCAAATTCACAAGCAATCTAAGGGGAAATCATTATAAAGCGATTGTGAGGGTATTAAGATATCTCATATATACTTGGGACTATATAATGTAATCATTAGTAAGATATGTTAAATAATTCTTTTAATGATCGTTGTGTGTTCGATGACTTAAATGACATAAATCAACTAAGCGAGAGTGAAGTAAGAATGCTTCAAGGAAGCTATTGTGAGATAAGTCTCTCGAATTCTTGCAGAATCAAGAGATGTTCACAACCCATTTGAACATACCCATGAGAACTGAAAACCTTTCTATGGAAGTATTTGTGTGAGATATATAATTGTTTACAGAGACGACATAATAGTTCAAGAACATCACATCTATGGTTATCTTGTAAAATAAATATATTTTATAAAGAAAGATTCAAGGGTTGGTGGTTATCTAGCCTATGAAACTATAATCATAGATTTTATCATCATATTGAGTCAATGTTTTGATTAAATTATCAATTTCATTCATGTGAGTGATTGTTTGATTAAAAGGATAAAATTAAATTAAATTTGATGTCTCTTAATTCAAACGTTATATTAGGTAATTATTACCTAATTCACAAGACGAGAATATAATGCATTAATGTTTCCTTGATTCTCGGATATTAACTTCTCCATTATGTAAAATTTTCAATATTTTTTAGTGTAAATCTTACATTTAAATTGTGTGAACTTAAAAGGTAAACACAAAAAAAAAAAAATTCTTTATTTTCAAAACAGTTTTAGTGATAGAAAAAGACAATGTTACATTTCACTAATCACTTCAGTCGAGTTATTGTTATACTCATATTGTTGTTGTATTCTGGGAGGCAGTCAATCAACAATCTCCAGCATCATAGGAGCAGACAAATTTATCTTAAGGAAATTATATAAACATACCTCAACGTCTCTGCCTATCAATTCCATGACTACTGACAAATAATTTTTTTCTTCAATTTAACTATAATCTATTTTAATTATTATTACTATTTATTTCTCATATCACATTTTATCTACCAACCTGTTATGTACCAAGAGACGGAATGGCTAGTGTGACAATGGTAAGTCCAACAACCGTTTATAAGACTAGAAATTAGAGCTCATATAGTCAAATAGGTGACTTGTATCCCTTAAACAAATACTTCAGTCTTAAATAAAAGTTTTAAGAATAAATTACATGTTTAATACCTAAATTATTAATTTTGTTTCGTTGTAGCATCTAAATTTTTTATTTTTTTTCAAAATCATACGTAACGTTTAGTTTAGGTTTCAATTTGGTACCTCGTCATTACAAACTTAGTGGCATCGATAATGTGGAACTACTTTCCCTTTTTCGGTATTCCACGTGTATTGCAATGTAAATTCCACGTTATTAGTGCCATTAAGTTTTTAACGGCGATGTACCAAATTGAAACTTAAACTAAACGTCAGGTATGCTTTTAAAAAACCTAAAATGTAGGTACTAAAATGGAATAAAAGTGATAGTCTAGGTACTAAATATATAATTTACCCAAGTTTTAATTAACTAAAGGAGAAAACTTGTTGGGTAAACGTAAAGCCCAAACTTACGACCTTTCAACTGGACATATTGTCCTCGTCAAATACATCACAACTCCTCAATTATATTAGGCCGGGATGGAATTTAAATGAATAAAATGCTAATAGAAATTGAAAGAATAATACAGATAAAAGAAATAGATTTAAGTTAACTTAACAAATTTGGCTCCATTATTTTACGCCAAATAAAATGTATACAAAAAGTAAAATTGGCAACATCTTCTATTATTATAATTAAGGTCAATAACATTTTTTTTAAAACACATATTTTTTTTGTTAAATTAAATTAATTGACAAAAAAATACATGAGAAGCTAATATTAAGGGTATAAATGAACCGAGTTTGAACAAATAAAATTGTATTTGTATTCGTTTATTTATTTTTCAGGTGTTCATGTTTGATTCGTGTTCGTTTAAATTTTCGGTATCATTTTCATGTTCGTTTATTTATTTTTGAAGGTGTTTATGTTCGTTTGTTTAACATTCAAGAACATGTTCATTTGTTTAACATTCAAGAACATGTTCATTTGTTTAACATTCACGACCACGAACATGTTTGTTTAATATTTGACAACCAACACTCTCATTTTACCTTTAAATTGCAAGCCAAAAAAATGGTGAAACTATGCCACTAGTCTTTAAGTTCCTTAGGCTTCATAGTTTGAACTCCAAAGTTCACCTTATGTTCAAATTTAGTTCCTACATTCGCCAATATTTAAAATGTAAAAAAATGAAGGGAAGAGGAGAACAAAGTAAACGAGCTTATAAACGAGTTGATAAACTAGTTTATAAACAAGTCAATAAATAAGTGTTGTTCATGAACATAATCAAACATTACACATTCCTATTTTTGTTCGCTCGTTAATTAAATGAACATAAAATTTTTGTACATATTCGTTTATTTAGCATAATAAATGAACATTATACGAATGATTCATGAATAACTTATCGAACGATATGTTCTTTTACACCCATAGCTTAATAAAATTTGCCTTTTTAATGATTTTAATATATATATTTATTTTTTATTAATATTATTATTTTTAAAATTTTCATGTAAAATAATAAAAATAGTTCACGCTTGTATTGACAAAAGCATAATTATAACTAATTATCGGTTAACAAATTTTTATGTCAATTATAATTTAAGAAAAATAAAATTAAAATTAAAGATCAAAGAGATAAACAAAATTTAAAACTAAAATAATATTTTTTAAAAGTGAGTGTAAAAATGTGATTATATCTTATAATTAATATATGTCTAAACTACACATTTAATATACCCAATTATTGCTTTAGTTCCGTTTTGGTCACTCAGTTATTATTATTTTTGAAATCATACCTAAAATTAACGATGATGCTGACATGTCACCATAATGTAATGACACGTCATGATTGAAAAAATAAAATTACCACATCAGCAGTTATATTTATTTTTTAACGGCGGTGACCAAAACAAAACCAAAATATAATGTTAGATATGATTTTGGAAAAAAAAGTTAGGTGACCAAAATGAAATTGAAGTGATAATTGAGTGATTAAATATATAATTTATTCTTAGTATATTAACGATAGCCATGAATTGAATTTTATCAATGTGTATATGGGAATTTAATTTTAACAAATTAATCAAAATTACATACAGTTCGTAAAAAGTATTAAAAAATTCTACAAGCAAATGTAATAATTCTAATTTAAATACATTTATTTATTTTAATATTTTTGATAAATTTGGATGAATATAAGATGTCATATGCTAAGATTCAATCATTTAATATGAACGTTTTTATTCTTACATATATAAAGGTGGTGAGCAAGAAAATTTCGGTCAGAGAAGTAGCTGCTTCATATTTTGGGTGCAAAAATAAAAAAGGAATCACAGATGGGCATTTGCTCCCAAGAGTAATTCTCCTAAATATTTCCCCAAATCTGTAATATGCCCATTTCTCGCTTCATTTTCCTTTCCGCCAAGCACCGCTCCGTCCGTCCTCCTACTCTTCTCCCAAGGTCACACTCTAATCTTTCTCTTCTATTTTTCTTTCTTTTAGCTGTTAGAATAAAATGGGTTTTCGTTTTTTGAAATTGTATTATGCCAGAAAAAGAACGAAAACTATGATCGTTATGCTCTTAAGTTTCTTCTAGGCAACATTGAAGAATCTTGTTCAATTCATGATATCCGATCTCTTTTAGTTGAATGTTAGTTTGGATTAATATAAGTCCGGAGTTTGTGACCTTTTGAATTGTTTTGATGCTGCAATTGTTCTTCCACGAGTCTTTTTGTATATTTCATGTATTTTGACGATGAATGGTGATTTGGGTGTTTGTTGCAATTACCGTTTGAACTTCTTTTCCTTGCATGTAAAACATTTAGTTCATAGTTTTAGTCTTCTAGATGGTATGAAGCAATTTTTAGTGTAATTGGTGAAGCTATAGGTTCTAATGCTTATATGGATATGTAGGTTTGATCCATCTAAGAGAATTCAATCTTGTGGCTATGCTCAATCAGCAAAGAACGGTTACAAAAATCCAACTGGTCATCCTGTTGTGAATGTTGAAACACAGACTTCTCGCTCATGGGGTGCTTATGTTATTGTACGCTCATGAAATTGCTTGTTCATATGTACTTTCCATTGTTGTTATATTGTGTATGAACTTTTTTGTTGGATATTGGAAGTAGGAATAAGTGGTCTAATAGTTATTTTTATCCTTCTTTTGCGCAGCCACCTATGTGACTAGGCTTTGGTGGATTGGTAGCTTTTCTGCATTATAATGATGAGAGAAGAGCAATTAAGAGAGGCACCTGTTTATCTTCTATTGTTGTTGTGTACATGCCTAGATGTTGGAATCTTGGTTGTTATTCACCAGGAGTTCGAAACTAGGTTGTTCAGATATGCAAGGTCTCTACATTTTCTTTTCTTTCTTGTATAGAAGTCCCATAATTTGTTTATTGTTGATATTTCTATGAAGTAAAACCTATTAAAGTAGATGAGACCAAGCAATTATTTGCTTGAGTAAATGGTCGGTTGATCATGAGTTTCATTGCTAGGGTTCATATTTAACTACCTACAAGTAGCTTATTTCATTAACTTCCTCTGCATTTGTTCTTTTAGATAAATGTGCTGGATATTGTTGCGAATCTTCTACTTACCAGTTTTGGTCCAACTTATTTATTTATTCATGTTATTGTGCTTCTTTGATTATGCTTGTGCTTAAATGTCCCAATTATTGTCCTTTTGCTGTTTGTATAGTATCATAATAGCATCATATTCTAGTTTTCTGAGAAATGCCCAATACTTCTTCAAACAGATTCATCGCTTTATGATACATTCTTAAATGGTTAGGAGGTTGGGAAGGTTAACTAAATATGGGCTAAGTTGAACCAAAATGCAATCACTGATAGTTCAGATGACATTTTTGCATGTTTCTTATGCATTACCACATTTGTCTATGAATGACTTTGACCTATAGCAAATAGAAGGATTTTATGGTAATGAAATTCTTTGGTGTAGATCTTCCATATTTTTATTCTCAAGATAATTCCATGTTACGTCACTACGATCGAAAGTCAGGCATCAGAAGTTGTCTCTGTATTATTTTATTTGTGGCAATATGTAATTGAATAGATAATCAACAAGTGACACAGTGTACTTGCATTTGTGCATAGATAATCTATTGTTTGATTCTTATTAGGTTGTAGAAAAAGCATGTGTGTTTCCCTCATCTTTTTCTTTTGAATTATGCTTTGGTTGACATACAATAAAATATCTAAAAACAGTGGAAATGTGGCTGGATAATACAGAAATATGTCCATAAAGCTTGGGGCTATAATTTTTACCCCAATCTAAAACAAAATTGTGTTACTATAATTTCTGCTTCTTTTGTAAAGGCTGTAGTTCAGGTTGGCACAATTAAGGTAATAAGGTGACATGCAAGCAGCAAGATGTAATAAATGCCTAAAAGAGTATTGATGACCATTAAAAGGTACATGTTAAGATAAGGAATGTGTTTGTTAAAAGCCACATCTGATTTGGATGTTTCCTGATTTTTTTGGAGAAGCTGGTGAAGAAGAGTGGACATAAGATTGTATATACCGGGAAGAAGTTTTTACTTTTTACTGCTTATTTAGTTTGCTCAAGTGATTTGTCATACATGATCCAAAATATTCCTCTGGTTGCATCAATTTGAGGTTTAAAGATCCTTGAAATTTTGCAGGCGTCTTTTTGGTGTTTTGTCCAATGCCAAGTGAAGGAAGGACTGCATAAACATGACTAGTCCTATCTTTAATATGCTTAGTGTTTCTGTTCAGCAGGCACGGAATACAATACTGGTAGTTCTGATACTGCAGCAGCTCCAATTATCGGTGGCCCATTCACTTTGGTAAATACAGAAAAACGGGTCGTTAAAGAACGGGAGTTTCTTGGAAATTGGGTTAGCCTGTACTTTGGCTATACATCATCTCCTGATATTGGACCTGATCAAGTCCAAATTATGGTGAAGGCTATAGATACATTAGGTATAATCCCTTAAAAAGACTTGGTGTTATATATAGCTATTAGTCTTGTAATATTCTTGACAATTTTTGTTTTATTTGTATCAAGAGTCAAAAGAGAATCTGAAGGTTTTACTTATATTTGTGACAATTGATCCTCAGCGTGATGGTCCTGCACAACTCCGTGCTTACCTCAACGGTTTGTATGCCTTGGGACTGAATATGTGACAATAATAAGCTACTCTTGTGTACATTTACATATGTTTGGCTAATATATCCTCCACTTTTGCATTCAAAGTACAGAGTTTGATCCAAGAATAGTGGGATTGACAGGACCTGTTAGTGCTGTAAGGCAAATGGTACTAGAATACCGTGTTTACTTCAAAAAGGTTGAAGAAGAAGGTGATGATTATCTTGTTGAGTCTTCTCACAACATGTATGTTCCAAACATTGTTCAATCTTTTGTATTGCTGTTATTGTTGAGAATTTGATGCAGAAAGTTTTAAATGCTCAGGTATTTGATAGACCCAAAAATGAAGGTTGTAAGATGCTTTGGAGTAGAGTATAATTCTGAGCAACTGTCGAAGGAAATATCGGAAGAAATGAAGAAACATCAAGTTAAAGCCGAGTAGAAAGGCTATGCTGGTTGCTTTGGTGTACCTGAGCAATGTTTAATCTCACACTTGGGATAGCATAGAAACTATTGAAACCAACCCCTATCTTTCCTTTCTTCGAGGTCCATTTTTCTCCAATATAGTTTGATTTCTCATAGGACAATTCTATTTCAAAATGAATAGGGTGTTGTTGAACTTGACTGGAGGAATTGAGATTTGAAATTATAAGAAGAGGATATGCCAACTTTGAAATGAATATTGGATGACCAACGAGATGGCTTGCAAAGCTATTTTATGATTTGAGAAATTAATTACAGCCCTCATCAGGGTGCTTGATCTACATTTCAGAATGATGATGATCAGCACTAGCCTGGGCGGGACAATAGTTCCTAATGATAGTGAGGTCGAAGGGTTCAGTATCGAGTGCCAACCATTGTTCCACTGTGAATAGCTGCTGGGTACATGGGGTATGGACACCGGTTGTGGTGACTTCCACATAGTTACAGTACCATCCATGGTGCGGACCCGAACCGTCCGATGTTAAGTTCATGGCACATACCGGTGCAGTCAAGCAACGCCCTCCACCTGAGAAAATATCCAAGTTTCCTCATTTGAAATAGTTATACCCTGCCCCCATTAACCCTCCCCATGCTTCCAGGTTGCTAATATTGACATAACTGCCGATGACATTTGTCGGAACCGTTTTTCGGGTGAGTCTGGAATTAGATTTCAACTTAAATAAAACGGATTATAGTCGTCACCGATCATTTATTTTAAAACAAAGGGTTGATCGGATATCTTATTTCTTACATGATCCGCGTCTTACCAAATATGTGTTAGATTCAAGAGTCGGTTACAGTCAAAGAAGGGTTAACACCCTTGAACTGCCCTTTCGGTACTACGTAATTTTCAGTTGTCTTTAATTAAAAAAGTTGTAATTTAAATTAAAGTTAAAAATATGATCCAAATTACTTACCTTTAACGGTTTTGAAAACGTACCCTTAAAAAGCCGAAAACGTGTTAGAGAAAAAAAATAATAAAAATAAATAAGATAAAGAAAATAAAACAAAGAAAATAACAAATGAAATAAATAAAAATAAGATAAAGAAAAAAAATAAAGAAAATGAAAGAAATAAAAAAGATATAAATAAATAAAATAACTAAATAAAGATAACGAAAAGTAAATATATAAATAAATACATAAAAAATATAAAGAAATAAATAAAGATAGAGAGAGAAAAATAAAAAAATAATAAAATAAAGAGGAATATATATATATATAAATATAATAATAATAATGAAAATAATAATAAAATAAAACCAAAAAGAAAGAAAATGGTAAAAAAAAGAAAATAAATAAATATATAAAAAGAGTAAAAATTAAAAATATATATAATGATAAATAAATAAAGTAAAAATATATAAAAATATTTAAAAAACATAATAACGATAAATAAAAGAAAATGAAATAAACCAAAAAGAAAAGAAAGAATAAAAATAATAAAACCTACTAATATATATATATATATATATATATATATATATATTAATAATATTAAATGACTAAATTAAAATAAAACAAAATGAATGGTATAATTTGAGAAAAAACAAAAATAAAATGGGGATTTAAGGGAAAAAATAGAGCTTTACAAAATATGGGGACCAAAATTGCAATGTCCCCCTTACAGAATGAAAACACGCGAATCAAATAGAGTGGGGCGAGTCGACGCGCGGGTCAGGAGCCGAGTTTGCGGGTCGATATAAAAGCCAATGTTTTGGCTTAACTACTCCATTTTTCATTTTCAACACAAGCCCCCATTTCTTATATTTCTCTCAATTGTTCTTCAGATTGAACAACACGCCGCCGTCTAGGTTCATAGGAACCCAGAAACCGACCATTGCCACCTCGCCGGTCGCCGTTGATCGGCGGCGAAAAAAAAGTTTTGATTTTTCTAAAAGATTTTACCACCATCGTTACGAAAATCACGATGGTTTTTGCAAAGCGGCCTCAAGAGAGGCTAGATCTGAGATTTAAAATCTCAAAATCTTCCCCTAAAGTTCATCGGCCTTTCGAAAAAAAGGAAAAAAGAAGACACCACATGCAAGCTACGAACTACAAAAAAGGTATAAACCTTTACCTTGTATTGCTCTTCGATTTTTTTACAAAAATGCTTCGGATACACTTGCAATTTGCTTGTATTTTTCGTGGTTTTTTTGTGCGTGAGTACTTGTGCCTATTATTTTGTGTAATCGTGGTAATATTCGTGATCTATTGTCCCTCAAATGTGTGTTACATACAATATTTATAGTAAAAATATATTATTTTCAGTACAAATAGAGTCCTAATGAAATTGTTCTTTGTTGTTTATTGGTGATGCTCCATGTTCGTCGGATGGTTCGAGGTTGTTGCGTGAGAAACGACGGTTTGGCCAAGCTGGGATGAAGGCATGCGGCGCTTGGAGGAAAGAAAGCTAGGGTTTCAAACCCTAGCTGGGTCGGTTCGGGCTGTTCCATATGGGTCACATGCAGTTGGGTTCCTGGGTTGTTGGGCGTGTGTTGTTGGGTCTGGGTGCTCTGTTGGGTAGCTGACGGGCTTGCTTGAACTGGGCCTTGGGGTTTAACATTGTAACATTGGGCCTAATACAAGAAATAAAAATGTGTGATATGTACCATATTGTATAATATAATTATAATGAGATAAATCAATATATAAATATATTATAGCAGTATGATCAAAATAATATTAATCGATGATGAAATTAGGTGTCTACAGCTGCCCCTCTTTGCTCATTATCGTATAACAAAAATAGAGCAAAGATTAAAAGACACAAATTTCATCTCTATCGAATGTCCTCAGTCGTAGAGTTGAAATCTTATGTCAACTTGAATTAAATTTGGAAATGACTCCCTCGCCGTGAGGTTGAGTTAAACTGGGAAATTCTGAGCACGATATCCTTCGTCGTGAAGTTGAAATCGAACTCGAAGCTTTGGCAAGTAGCTCCTAGATCGTCTTCTAGCTCAAGATACTTCGTCATGAAGGTGAAACTTGACCTGAAGACTTCGGTGTTGTTGTGTTACAGATGACTCATTCGTCGTGAAGTTGGGTTAATCTTTTTGGGTACAATACCCTTCGTTGTGAAGTTGAAATCGTGGATGGCTCATTCGTTGTGAAGTTGATCTTTGAATTGGATATCCTTCGTTGTGAAGTTGAAATCCAATCTAAAGATGAATGTTGATGATGGACACTATATCCTTCGTCGTGAAGTTGAAATCCAATCTAAAGATGAATGTTGCTGGTGAACACGATATCCTTCGTCGTGAAGTTGAAATTGTGGATGACTCATTCGTTCTGAAGTTGAGCCTTGAATTGGATTTCCTTCGTTGTGAAGTTGAAATTCAATATAAAGATGAATGTTGCTGGTGGACATGATATCCTTCGTCGTGAAGTTAAAATTGTGGATGACCCCTTCGTTGTGAAGTTGAGCCTTGAATTGGATATCCTTCGTCGTGAAGTTGAAATCCAATCTAAAGATGAATGTTGCTGGTGGACACGATATCCTTTGTCGTGAAGTTGAAATCGTGGATAGCCCATTCATTGTTAAGTTGAGCCTTGAATTGGATATCCTTCGTCGTGAAGTTGAAATCCAATCTAAAGATGAATGTTGCTGGTGAACACAATATCCTTCGTCGTGAAGTTGAAATCGTGGATGGTTCTTTCGTTGTGAAGTTGAGCCTTGAATTGGATATCATTCATCGTGAAGTTGAAATTCAAGTATTGTTTCACAAAATTGGATTTGAGTTGGATATCATTCGTCGTGAAGTTGAAATCCAATCTTGAGTAAGTCTCACCAATTTGCTTTGAGTTGGATATCATTCGTTGTGAAGTTAAAATCCAATCTCGAGTAAATGGTGTCACTTTGAGTCCAATATCATTCGTTGTGAAGTTGAAATTGACTCTGAATGAAACTGAAAAGTTGTTTGTTGAGTCCAATATCCTTCGCTGTGAAGTTGAAATTGACTCTGAATGAAATTGGAAAGTTATTTGTTGAGTCCAATATCCTTCGCTGTGAAGTTGAAATTGGCTCTGAAAGCTGCAAAAAATTATGTGTGTAAAAAATGATGAATGTGATGCTCTTAAGTATGTCTAAGATGCATGCAATATGAATTAGCTCTTGTTTTATTTCCTAAGTGGAGTCTCGTGCTTTGTCTGCCAATCTGGTCCTTGGAATTGAGCATGCCCCATTTCTTCTTGGGTTGCAGCCTTTCACATTTGAGACTGTCTTGTTTGAAAATATTTTTTTCTCCTTTCTCTTATTTTAGGAGGGAAAAAAATAAAAGAATTCTGTAAAACATTGATACTTAATTCAGGCTTGTAATCGAATCAAATCATAAACATGAGTTTAAAGCATATCAAAGGAATCAATAGCTCTTTTAATGCTTTCACAGTTATAGCTCTTTGAAAAATATATGAATTGATGAGCCAGGTTGGCTTCATAATTTCTAAAGTTTCAACCCTAAAAACGTCATTTTTCTCGGTCATTGCAACATGCCTTTTTCTTGGCTTGGCATTTTAATTGGATGTAGACAAAATGACGCAACTAGCATGATCAATTACTAGACCCTCTATTTTCGTACTCTGAAATCCTCCATTTGTTCAAGCTTTGTAGGCCTCTCTAACAAAGGTAGTGCAAAAATATCAGTCTAAAAATAAAATTCTTGAGTGCTCGTGTGAAATTGACTATAACAGTTGTTCCTTAACTCTTTTAGTCCATCATTACCGAAAATTTCTTGTTTAGATAAATTTGATTTAATATGCCATTGTCTGGCTAGCCGAATCCATAAAGTCGGGGCGTTTAACCAATTGCTTTAGAGGAACAGCTTAACATTATAATCACTTTTATTATGTTAAGTGAAGGGTTCGTCTCGTCACAAAGTCTTCGGCCTGACAATAGCAGTGCAACAAACACCGAATTGCTGAGTGTCCGAGCAATGTCATGGTTTGAACGTAATATATTCATAAAGCCAGGGCTTTCGAGTTTCCTCTATAACCAATTGCCTTAGTGGAATAGCTCAGTTTTTACGGATTTAATTTCTTAAGATTATCAAGAAGAACCTATTATAGTCTAGGTGATTGTTGAAAGTAAAAAATTTCATCTTTA